AAAAAAAAAAAAAAAAAAAGACTATTATATAGTTTGCAATTTATTTTATGCTATTATTACTTTTCTATTATTAGTATTAGAACCAAATTCGATTAAGATTTAGTTAATATCACAATTAGAATTAAATTAGGTTTGGTAAGTTTTTGTTAGAGTTATTGAGTCTTTATTAAATTTGATTAGATTTTATTATCAACTCCTTAGGACCTAATTTTATTAGGACTAATATTTTCTTTTAAATATTATCATTTACATGCTCATACGTGAATATATAGTCCTTAAACCAGAATATAAAAATCCTAGCAATATGCCTGAAGGAGGCTTTGATTGAATGTTTTGGAACAAACTGAATACTTTTATAACAGAGACATTGCAGTTAAAGTCTCCAAGAACAGCATTTACAACATCAAAAATAAGTTCAACACAATGATGCATTACCCAAGCTGTATTTAACTGAATGAAATCTAACCTTTCATCCTCAAGTAATACTCCTTCCCATATAGAGTTACAATAAGCATTGCCCAAAGTGCCAAATAATTCCATTATAGCAGGTTCCCAAACTTTCACATCCAACGTCAAAGATCTCACCTGCAAATAGAAAAATAAAGCATCTTTTTATTAGGGAATACTTAAAAATAAATAAGGATCACAATTCAGTTATTTTATTAGGCTCTTGCATTTTTTACCCTTTTTCTTTTTGTGATATTCCTGTCCTCATTTACATTAAGTCAAAAGTTAGGATCCTTAACTGTATATAGAATTAGGGACTAATTTGTAAGAATTGTTAATTTTGGGTTGCATGTCATTTTAGGAATCAGATTAGTGGAGTCCAGTTGTCTATTAACCTGTTAATGTCAATAACAGGAGTCCTGAGATGAAGTTTGGCTAAGTGGGAAGCATTTAAAACCCACTTAACCTTGTCTGCGAGAGTATACTAGGGTCTTGCACCTCACTTAGCAATTTTCTATATTTTCCTGTTAGCTGGGCTGAAAAGGAAGGAGAAAGAAGTGGCAGCTATACAGACAAGCAGACTACGAGATTCTTGAGGAATTCTGGCAACTCCAGAATTTAGAAGAAGTGTGTGGTAAGTGTAATTCTTAATTTTTAGTCTAGACTGACAAACATGTTAAAAAGTATATAGATAAGCTAGAAAGAACATACATAAGGAATTAAAGATCTGTAACTCAAGGCTATTTAACATAGATACTGTGGTGAACCAGAATTAACCTATGATAGATTCTAATTACTATAGAATATTTGTACAGGCAGAGAAAATTGTGATTTAAGTTAGATAACTAAGATCTAGGATTATGATTTGTGATGCCATTACCATACTTAAATGAGTTCAAGTTGAGATTAGCATGTTTTGCATGTAGCAAACTTTTTAGATTTATTCCTATGCGAGTGACCTGAGCCAATGACATGCTTGTATTCTATTGATTCAAGAGATCATGCTAGTAGTTATTGAACATGTTATGCATGTTTCTATACTGTATATGCTTCTGTCTAAAATTGCTTTAGAAACTATGGAGGGTTTGGAACCCAGCCTAGGCTTGGGAGTTACAGTGAACTAGTGGACCTCTAGTAGATAAGTGCTATGAGTAGCTCTGGCACCTAATGTGAGTGCATGCACATTAGTGGACTCCATGGTCTATGTGTTAATGTGCTATGTCTGTATGAGTGTTCCGCTAAGGCTATATCTAATTCTGTATGATCAGAATAAGAATGGAACTAGTGCTTGGAATTTTCCGCATAAAGAATAAAGGAACATCAGCTAACTTAAAAGTTAGGAATTATACTTTGTTTCTTCCACCATTTCAGATGGTA